ACTCTTTCCTTGAAAGCTAAAGACAGAAGTAACAGTGAAGGACAGGACGTGGGGACCCACCGCAGCGCTGGCCTCTGGCAGTGGCCGCATCAGGAGCTGGACCAGAAGGCCGGCGGGGGCAGGGCTGGTAGCTGGGAGGGGGCCTGGGCACAGGGGTGCCCGCCGTGGGGTTATGGCACGTGTGGGGGTCTTTACGGTGAACCGTCCACAACCGGGAGGGGCCGCAGCGGTGGACGGGGCGGTGGGCAGCCGCCCGCCTACATCAGGAACCTCTCCGTGTCGGGGAGGAAGTCGGGGAGGAAGGTGGGGTCTGGGAGGCTGGGGGACCCGCAGCTGGCCCTCTGCGGGAAGCTCCGCAGGGGTAGGGCCAAAGCGGGTGGAGATGGGCTCTGGGCAGCCGGCCGGCCTCGCCCAGGCTGGGCCGAGACCACAGAGCCCCTGTTTGCGGTTAGCTGGTCCAGGTTCCCGCTAGGGTCCACGATGGCATTGATGACTGGGAAGAAGGAAGAGTCAGGCAGGCAGGGGTCCTTCCTGCCCCCCACGCCCGCCCTGGGGGCCTCCCTGCTGGTCAACCAGGTAACCGGGGTGCGAGTCAGGTCCCCCACCACAGTCCCTTGGGACCCCCGGGTCTGGGGACCACCTACCTTCCAGCTGCTTCTGCACGCGACGCAGCTCCTTCAGGATGGAGCTGATCTCCTACAAGTGTGGGGGGGCACGCTGGAGCAGGCCGGGCGGGCCGCCAAGCGTCCCGCGCTCCAGGGCTCTGGGAGCCTTGGCATTCCCGCTTGGGCCAGCTCCCCCGCCCTGTCGCAGGTGGGCTGCGCCCCGGGGTCAGGCGGAGCCTGTGTGCCCCCATGTGCCCCCGCGTGCCCCGGGCACCACCAGCCTCACCTTGTTGGACGTCTTCAGGATGGGCACCTCGTTCTCCGCGTTGATCTTGGCTTCCAGGTCCTCCCACGCACGCCCCGTGTTCTGGAAAAGGATCCTGTCCCCCGAGAACAGCAGAGGCCTGTTATGATAGGACCAGGGCGCAGCACCCCCCAGACCACTCCACCTGCTACGGGAAGCTCACGTTGCCCCTCCTGTGCCCAGGGAAACTGAGGACCAGAGCAGGACCTGGGCTGGCTGGCCCGCAGTCTGTCTCTACCCAGCATGGGTGAGGGCTGAGAAGGACTTGGGGGATGCGGGAGCAGGGGAGGGGTGGGGTGTGGCCCGGATCGTCCTGGGGCCTGTCTGGTTGCAGGAGCCAGGGACACGTGCCCTTGGAAGACGGCAACCCACAGGGCCCTGGCTCACATGCACGTGTTCGTGTCTGACTGGGGCCTGGCTGGGTGTTCACTAAGCAGTAGGGGCTCCCCGGCCCCTCATTTCCCGTCAGGGCTCCCAAGCTGGTGGGGTCCGGGGGCCAGCTCACTTCATCTTCTCGGCAAGGTGCTCCGTGTTCTCGCGGATGGCATGGGACAGCTGGGACACGGGGTTCAGCATCAGGTTATCGAAGATCACCTACGAGGGCCGGCATCAGCATGCGGCCCAGGCACACCCGCCACCAGAGGGAGCCCATGCGTGCGGCCAGGCCAGCTGAGGGGGCGGGTGGGGTGCCTGCCTCCTCGCGGTTCCGAGGCCGTGTTTTGTTGGTCAGGGGGTCCTCACGACAGTCGTTCATGTTCTGGTCCAAGTCCCGGGCGCTCAGGGAGCCAGGAGGCACCTTCTGAAAGTTGAGGCTGGCCTCTGGGATGCGCTGCACCAGCTGCAAGGAGACGGGGCGTGGCCAGGACGAGGGGAGCTGCGCCTGCCCCCTGCGACCGCAGACGGACAGAGTGGACCCCAAGCTTGTCTGCTCAGGTCCCTGAACACCCCACCCCACCCCTGTTGGAGGCAGGTCCTCGACTCATGCTCCCCAGGTGACTGGGAGCAGAGGATGCACAGCGGGCTGGGCTCACCTCCTCGCGGGCGTAGATGGTCGAGGCGGGGGTGCTGGGCACGTTGCTGAGGGCGGGGCTTCGGGCGGGCCCGGGTGAGCCCAGAGAGTCGCCGTCACCGGCCACATCATGGATCTCCCGGGCCAGGATGGCCACGTCCTTCACCAGTGTCTGGCTCAGCCTGCAGCCGCCAGGACAGAAGGCAGACGCTGTGGGGACCACCCAGGGCCCTGCGTGCTTGCGCGCGGGCAAGGGATGGACAGGGGGGTGCTCAGAGCAGGAGCCAGGCAGGGCTGCATGTCCCTGCTCCCCGGGGGGTGGGGGCGCAGAGTCCCTCCCAGGAAACAGCCACTGTGTAAGGGCAGGGCCAGAGTTTGCAGCCTCTGGCCTGGCCCAGATCAGGCCCAGCCGGCTGCTGGCAGTGCCTCCCCAGGAGGCTCGGGTCCCTGGTACTCTACCGGGTGGCGGGGGGTGGAGCTGGGGCAGGGCCTGGGCAGCGTGGGTGGTCAGGGACGCCCACAGGACCTTGAGCAGACTGCCATAAGACACGTGGGGGCAGGAAAACCGAGGCAGGGGTCCCAGACAAGGGTCAGAATTGGGCGGGACAACCGAGAAAGGTGAGGCACCTCCCCACAGTGTAGAGGAGCTCCCAGGCCACCCAGAAAGGGACAGAGGCCAGTGGGGGACCAGGAGCAACTCCCCGTGCTGTGCTGCCTGTGAAGCTGAGTCTTCAGCACCAGTCCCCAAAGCACCTCAAGCCCACGACCGGCACGCTCCGCACCCCTGGAACCCTCGGCTCACTTGTGGGCGAACAGGCTCCACCCTCACACTTCCTGGCCCTGCAACGCCTACGTCGCCGAAGGGCTGGCCCCCAGACCCACTGAGGACCAGGTCTCTGCCCTTGGCTGTCCCAGCTCTGCTCAACCTCAGGGCCCAGCCAACCCCGGAGGCACCTCCAGCTCCTGCCCAGCACAGCCACCCAGGCTCTGTCCCCACCAGGGCTGTCCTCGGCCCCCTCAAGATGGAGGTCATTCGCCAGGACCCAACCCTCCTACATTGAGAGAACACAGGACGTACCTCCCAGTCCTGGAGATGGACAGTAACCCACGCCTGTCCCCACAGGGCCCTGCAGCCCCTCCTCCCGCCTCCCTCCTCCACCCCCCACCCCTCACCCAGGTGGCATGGCTTCCTCCGGGAACCCTCTGCCCTGCCTTCTCTCCTCAGGCTTTGTCGCCACTGCACAGGCGACCCCACCCCGCGGCCGTGCCAGCACTGCGGCCCTGGCCCTCGTCTGCTCCCAGGTCCTCTCTGCACACTCACGTGCTGTCCACAGCCTGGGGCCTGTCCTTGTGCTGCGGACGCCTATGTCCCCATCCTCCACACTGGCCCCTCTCCTAGGAGCCACCTGCCTCTGGCCCCTCCTTCCTGGCACCTCAAGGGCTCAAGGCCAGCATCCTCGCTGTCCCCCAGCCCCAGGACTCCCCCTGCCCCTCTAGAGGCCCAGCCAGCGCGGCACGGACCACTGCTCAAGGGAAGACCTCTCAGCCCCGCCCACCTCTCCACGCAGCCTCCCCAGTCCCTCCCCTGCAAGACATCCCTCCGCTGACGACCCCATGGCAGACTTCATCTTCACGAAAATCTTGGTGGCTACCTTGTTCGTACCAGAGGTCCCCCCACCCGCCAGTCATATCCGGATCAACCCACCCATCCATCATCCGTCCGTCCAGTCCATCCACCCAACCGTCATTGAACTCTCCAGCCAACCAGCCAGCCACTCATCCAACCGCCACCACCGGACACGCACTCCTAAAGGGCACTTGGGAGGCCCCGGCCCCACCGTCCCTGCCCTCAGGGCTTGGGGTCCCCAGGAGGCCCCGCAGACGGCTCCTCACGCTGTGAGGAGCTCACCGGGCGATCTCCGCGATCTCCGCCGTCTGCACGATGAAGGCGTAGGGGTCGGGCTCCTCCTCCTCGTCGTCCGTGTCACGGGGCCGGGCCCGGGTGCAGCTGCTGGCGCGTGGGGTCTGCGTGGCTGCCGAGGCGCGGGCGCGCGGGTGCCTGGGGGAGGCCTGGTGCGAGCCGTACTCCTCCTCCGAGGTGGACGTGCAGTCGGAGCCCTGCTGCCGGCGGCGTGTGCCTGCGGTGAGCGCGTTGGTTCCAGAAGCAAGGACAGGACAGAGCATCGCTCAGCACCGCGTGGCAGCGCCAGGGTCCCTTCGGGCCCAGGCCAAGACTGCAGGACAGGCCACACTGCAGCGGGCACCCCCGTGCCCAGAAGCCCTCCCGCGGGAGCCCCAGCAGCTGCTAAGCCCTGGGGACGGCAGGGCCACCTCCAGCCCAGAAGCACACGCAGGGGCCGGTAGACCGGCGCTCCCACAGGCCCCGGGCCGAGTCCATCAGACTGGATCCAGCGCCTCGGTGGCAGGGCAGCGGTGCCCGCACCCCTCAAACGAGCAAATCTCTCCACTATGGCCAGCCGCAGCGTTGGGCTGGATCGACAGGGGCTGAGCATGGCCCTCGAAACCCTGTGCCGGCACCTGCCTCGTCTTCTTTCCCTTGAGTCCTCACTCAGCCCGGCTCTGAGACCCCTACGCCCTTGCAGTGGCTGCAAACACGCAGGACAGCAGGGAAGTGGGTGGGGCAGCGTCCTCCAGGCACCAGGGGCCCCAGCAGCCCCGCCCACCGCCCCAGGCTCCGCCCCCAGCACGCCCCGCCACCCGCCCCAGGCTCTGCATGTGAGTCGGCATCGGGACTGGGGTGGGGAGGAGGTGTCCAGGTGTGTGACTGGGCAGAAGCAAAGGGCTGGCCCAGCCGCGCCCACACCACAAGCCAGTCCACTCGGAGGACAGGCCAGTTCCCAGCGGGGTGAGCCCAGCTGAGTGGACGTGGATGTCCAGCCACCCTGGGCAGCAGCCTGTCCCTCCTTGCTGCACACATGGGCCGCAGCCGGGTGCTGGGCAGACACGCAGGGAGCCGCAGACCCCCCGCCCAGCCGGGCCGGGCCCCCTCACGGCACTTACTGGGCGAGGAGTAGCGGGCGCTGCCGGGGCGGGCCCTGCTGAAGGGCTGGCGGGAAGCCGCGGCGGTGCTGGCCGTCTTCCTGGCGGCGGTGCGGGCCTCGGCCATGGTGGGCTTGCGGCCGGTGCAGCACGCCTCGACGCTGCGGCCGGAGAAGCCCGTGCGGGGGGGTACCGCCTCTGAGTCGCCGGGCCCCGTGAAGGAGCCCGCCCGCTTCCGGGGCATGGCCAGAATGTCCAGGCGCGACAGCTTCTTGGCCTGCTCGGATGCCGGCCGCCCCACCGGCTCGGGGTTGGCCAGGGGCCCCCGCTCGCCGTCAGCCACCTCTGTGTCCGAGGCGTCCCCCAGCCGGGCCCGCCTCAGCCGGGAGGCGCGTGTGGGCCGCGGGGTGGACAGGCTGTTGGAGCGTGTCAGCGCCTGCTGCACCTTCTGGGCGCTGGCTGAGCCCCGGCTCTGCTCTTCCCGGGCTGCTGGGGTCGGTGGTGGGGCTGTGGGTTTCCGGCGAGATGCTGGCCGCCCCGTCCCGGGGACCATAGGGGCCTCGTGGTCAGAGACGACCATGCTTGAGCCAGGTGGGTGGACAAGGCCAGAGCCTCGGTCCTCGTCGGGCCAGTCCGGGGACCCCTGGAGGCCCTGGCCACGCGGCAGGGCCAGGCGCCGTGCTGGCTCGCCACGGCCTGTGTCCGCCACGCCCGCTGGGCGGTGCAGCTTCTCCGAGAGCCCCTCTCGGGAGCTGCTGAGGGCTGCCGCCCCCAGGTCCTGTGCTGCTGGTGGGGACGGCGGCTTCTCCCTCTGCTGCCCTGTGAGCTGGGGGCTCGTAGGGCTGGGCCCGTTCCTGCCACTGAGCAAACTGACGGTACTGGCGGTGTCCACGTCAGAGTCCCCAGACAGGGAGTCCTCGGGCGGCCGAGGAGCATCGCCCGCCTCGCCCTCCGTCCCGGCTGCAGACTTGGAGAGAAGCCGGGCCTCCAGCGCCGCCAGGGCCGTCTCCGTCTCCTTGAGGATCAGGTGAGTGTCCTGGGCGTGGAGGTCCGTGCGTAAGGCCCGGGCTGCAGCCAGGTCCTGCAGGAGGGGGTGGCTGGAGATGTGCGGGAGCTGGCCAGGCGCGGGGGTGCCGCTGGCCGGCTCCTTGGTGAAGCTCTCTTGCCGGGCAAAGGCCAGGGCCTCCTTGGCCTGGGCTGCAGCCGGCCTCTCAGGCTCTGGGGACTGCTTTGTCTGCAGCTGGATGACCATCCTGCCGTTGGTGCTGACGTAGACACCGTCCCTCACTGAGGGACTGGGCTGGGCCGCCAGCCCTGAGCCGCCCATCTCCCCTGGAGCCACGGACGTTCTCTGGGGAAAGGCAGCCTCCCCGTTCTGGTCCCCAATGAAGAAGGAAGTGGGGGCTGGCTCCCCGGGGGCCCTTGGTGAGCGCCGGCCCCGCGTCCACACTGGTCCCTCCTGGGGACTCCTGCGTCTCTCCTCCTGCAGGCCACCACCTGGCTCTGCGCCACGTCCCCCATCTGACCCACTGGCGTCACTGAGGCTGTCGGGTTCCAAGTCCTCCTGACCCAAGAGGCAGCTGGGCCGCTCACTGCTGGACTCCGGTGGCCCGGGCCCACTCCTCTGCGCGGCCTCGGGGCCAGCAGGGCCGTCCACCCTGTCGCTGGGCAGCGGTGGGAGCAGTCGCCGCTGGCGCACAGGCAGGGCCCCCTCGAGCTCCCCGGCTCTGCGCCCAGGACTGTCTTCTGCAAAGGTGGGGGCAGGACGCTTAGAGCAGCCACTGGCCTGCAGGCTGCCTGACCCTGCTCCAAGCGTGGCTGGCACGAGCTCACACTGGTATCCCGGGCTGGTGGCCTCAGGCCACCCTGGCCAAGCCCCTCTCCCCACTGCAGCCACTTACCTGCCGGGCCAGGGTCCGAGTAGCTGTCAGCCAGGCTGGCCCAGCGGGACACCCACTTCTGACCCCCAGGGGAGCCCGGCACTGGGAGGCCCTGCAGAGAGAAGGCAGGGCGTGTCTGTGTCTGTGGCAGGCGTCCCGCAGGGACAGGCCAGGGGCAGGGGTCAGGGGAGAGGGACGGCAAAGGCGGTCATCCCAGCACCGGGCCCCACACGGTGCCGCTGCAGAAACAGCAGGAGGACCCTCCTCTCACGTCACCTGCGGCCCTCACGACAGCATACTGCGTGTAACCGAGCCCGGTGCAGCGCCCCGGCCCTGGGCAGCACACACCCAGGCGCCCAAACTGACCTGGGGACCTGGGGCCTGCCCAAGCCCTCCACACCAGGCCCCCAGCCACCTGCCAGGTGGGCAACTCTACGCAAAACATCCGGCCCAGCTCCAGGCAGAACCAGAGTCCCCGAGTGCGTGCATCCAGGACCCGATGACCAGGCCCAGCTGGACGCCGTCCTCTCCCTGCCCGGCCCCCCCCAGGGCGTTGTCTGGGCCTGGCCTGCTACCTGGAGCACCCCCTGGGGTGTCGCACCCGCTGGCCGGGAGGCAAACTCCTGCAGCGGGGCCACGCGCGGGGTCATGCCATCACCACGTTCGTCTGTGTCCCCTCTGATGACTGGGCGAAAAATGGCCGAGGACACCCTGGAGAGGTCGGGGGACTCGAGCACGCCGAACACCTGCAGTGCGGACAGCCAAGCAGGCCGAGGGTCAGAGCGCCCAGCCCCACCCTCTGCTCAGACACCACGGGAGTAGGGGCCCTGGCTGCTCGGACTGGCCAGCGGCCGGGGCACACAGCCTGCTCGCGGGGCCCTGGGGGAGCAGCCCCGGCGAGAGGCGGGCCAGGCCGCACCTGGTCGATCATCCTGCGGGCCTCCTCCACCTCCTGGTCCTGCGTCTCCGTCTCGATGGTGTAGGTCCCCGCGTCGCTGAGGCTGTCGTCCTCCTCCTGGGTGCGCGCCTTGGT